CTCCCCCCTCCACCGCTGCTACCCACCTCACCCCTCCCCTCCCCTCCCCAAGCACAGGCCCAGCCCCTCCCTCCCACCAGGAAAAGGCTGACAGACACTGGCCCTGAGCCCACAGCAGGCAGCCTGCCCTTGCCCTGCACACAAATCCAGGGGGCATATACCTCTCATGCCTCCCTCAGGGGTGCATGCAGCAGCAGCAGGGAGCCACCCCTCCTCCCCACCCTGTAACTTCCCAATGAGCTGCCCGGAGCTCCATCCTGTGCCCCGCCCCGCCCCCACTGGGCAGCGCCTGTCCCTGTCCGATTCCCTCCCTCGCTGTGGGGGCCTCGATCTGCTCCCCACATGCCCCTTCCCCCCTACCGATTTACCAGCCAGATGTTGCTCTCCAAGCTGCCAGGCTGCATTCCTGGCCACATGCATGCTGCGACTGTGCGCATGTACATGGTATTTATCAATGACATTATCAGCTACACCAGCCAAAAAAGCTGACTGCTAATAATGTCAATTTTCCTTTCATTGGTACCAATCCAACATGGACTGATACACTGGCGCACCTCTAGTACAGACATATAACAATTAACACGAAGAAATTTACGTCTGATTGTACTAAGTAGCTAGGAACAGGCATGCAACCTGCCCTCCAAGCTTGCTGCCCATGGTGGGTATAACAGTAGCAACTGGCCAATAAGTGGCTAGGGACACAACACAGTTACTACTCTGTGAAGAAAATGACTAGGGGAGCAGACATATTAACAATACATAGGTGCAATTTGTACTGCCACATAGATACTCTTCACTTTCTGAAGGTCACTTCACCCTGGAGTGGAATGACTTGCATCAGTTTAAAATTTTGCCTAGATATCTGTTCTATGTCTACCCTGAAGGAAAGCCAAATTACCCAGAAATAACATATCATGTGTCCAAACCTGAAGATAAATATAATCACATCCAATAATGCATGGTTATACGGCTGCAACTGACTAATGACAACTACAGGTGAATTAGAGATGTGTCCACAAATAACTGGATAAAACTTGGGTATGGATTTAATGTTTCCCAGTGGCTTTGCAGTTTTTACTTTGCTCTGTTTGGCTTCTTTCCAGATTTTTGTTTGACACCCATCACCTTGACATCCAGGTGCTTCACATACATCATTGATCAGGAAGTCACATTATCTGCACTTCGCAGATTGGAAACGGAGACACAGAGGGCCTAGCTAGACCTTTAAGTAAAGGTGTGATAGGATCTGATCAACAATCGATGCAATTGCGCCTCCTGCCATGTCACACATGCATAGCAGGGAGTGGAATTGTAGGATCCGGCATCAGATCCTATCACGCCTTATTGCCAGTGCCAGGAGAGCCTGGGATCACAATCCCAGGCTCCCCCTGCATCAGCAAGCAGCATGTTTCCACAGTGGTGAGTCCCACAGCTGATGGATTCACAGCTGTGGTAGTATCCCACATGGCGCCATGGCTGACATCCCCACAGTTGGGACACACAGCCACAGCAACGTGGTGGCAGTCTTGTCAGCTGACGGCACTAGTAGCCGCAGTAACATATGGGGCACTGCCATGGCTGGGAATCCTGTCAGCTACAGGACTCCCAGCCATATGGCAGTGCATGGTGGTCAGCTGTGGGACTCAGCTGATGGGGCTCCCAGCCGCAGAGGCATGGCTATGTTTCTTGCCGCATGTTCAAATAAAAACTGGATAGAAACCAACTATAAAATTTTTACACATTTTCAAGCTCTATCCGTAGCCGGATGGACCTTTTCATGGAGGGACAATTACTTTCCACATGTAGCGAGTCTAAATTCATCATGCCAATAACCAGTTAATTGTGTAATATGAGTAGCATGTAGAGGGGGCCTGAGAGACGCAATGTCTTCCTCATGATGGCACTGAGGGGTGCGACAGCAGTCAGGCCATGGCAGCAGGGCAGAGCCGTGGCCCGGCACGTGAGCAGCTGGAGGCAGGAGGTGGAAAGAGCAGCACACCCCCTTCCTTGTCTGTTACTTCTTGTGCTAGGGGCAGCATGGCTGGTGCAGGGGGCCCAGCAGCAGGTCTTGTTGCCCCGCTGCCTCCCATGCCACAACCCCACCACTGGGGCAGCTCCTGCCCATGCCAGTCCAGCAAGACTACAGCCCCATGCCTGTTGTGGGCGCAAAAATCTGGGGATGCACATGC